ATGGAATGTCTTTCCATTTATTTAAGTCTTTGACTTCTTTCAATGGTGTTAGGCAGTTTTCAGTGTACAGTCTTGTACTCCTTTGGTCAGAGAACATTTTGTATGATTTCAACCCTTTTAAATTTATTGAGGCTTGTTTAATGGCCTAACATATAGCCTATGCTGGAGAACATTTCATGTATACAAAAAGAAGGTGAATTCTGATGTTGTTGTGTGAAGTGTATAAATGACTACTAAGTCTTGTTGGTTTATAGTGTTGTTCACATCTTCTATTTCCTTACTGATCTTTGCCTAGTTGTTCTACCCATTATTGGATATAGAGTATGTATTTCTCCAACTATAATTGTTCAATTGTCTATTTCTGTCTTCATCAGTTTTTGTTTCATGTATCTTAGGGCTCTGCTAAGTGCATATATAATTATTATGTCTTCCTTTTAGACTGACTCACCATATTTTTTTCTAGTAATTTTTGTCTTAAAATCTATTTTTCCTAGAATTAGCATAGTCATTTCAGATCTTTTGGGTACTGTTTGCATGGTTTATTTTTTTACTTTCAACTCATTTGTGTCTTTGTTTTTTGTTTTTTGGGTTTTTTTTTTTGTCTTTTTCCGTGTCCGGCAACAGATCGCAACCCTCAGTGTTGCCCCCGTACCGGACCGGGGACCGGCAACGGGATTGCAACCCTCGGTGTTGCTCCCGCACCTCGCTCAGCCAGTGAGCAGGAACCGGTCCGTATGTGGGATCCAAACCCTCGGGCGGGAGCGCCGCTGCGCTTCCCAAGCGGTGCACTTATCCAGTGCGCCACCGGGCCGGCCCCTCATTTGTGTCTTTGAATCTAAAGTATGTCTCTTTGGCCGGCCCATGGCTCACTCGGGAGAGTGTGGTGCTGATAACACCAAGGCCACGGGTTCTTTTAAAAAAATAAATTTAAAAAAATAAAGTATGTCCCTTGTAAATAGCATATAGTTGGATCATCATTGAAATTTCACATAATAATAGGGCCGGCCCATGGCTCACTTGGGAGAGTGTGGTGCTGATAACACCAAGGCCATGGGTTCGGATCCTATATATAGGGATGGCCAGTTAGCTCACTGGCTGAATGTGGTGCTGACAACACCAAGCCAAGGGTTAAGATCCCCTTACCGGTCATCATTTTTTTTTAAAGAAGAAATTTTACATAATAAAAAGTCTTAAATAAACAAGGTTGTCTTCTGAAATTGAACAAACTACTGCAAAGACTAAAATATTTAAGAATAGCCAATAAATTTTTTTTAAATATTAAGAGGAAATTTGTTCCACCAGATATCACAAAAAGATGTGTGTGTGTGTGTGTGTGTGTGTGTGTGTGTGTGTGTGTTTAAATCAATAGGGAAAGGATGGATTAATCAAAGGTGTTAGGACAAGTGGCTTCCATTATGAAGAAAATAAAACTAGATGATTTCTTACACTCAAAACTAAACCCCAGTTGTATAACAAAACCAAAAATTACTATAAAATGATAGAAAAATATCATATACTAATGGAATGGGGAAGACATTTTTAGGTAATAAACAAAAATCAGTTTTTAAATTTCTGTATGAGGGGCAACCAGTTAGCTCAGTTGGTTAGAATGTGGTGCTGATAACACCATGGTCCAGGGCTCAATCACTGTCCCAGCCAACCGTCCACCTTATTTTTGATATATAAGGTGCCAGTAGTTAAAAGTTTATCTGTTCTGAACATGGAAGGTAAAGTAAGTGACAAAGCAGCCAGAATTGGCACCACCTTGATGGAAAATCATAACCAAAGTGTATACAGTCACTTTTTATTCCAATGTCTTTCACTTATTAAAAGCTTTCACCCTAAAACATCTTTCTTTAAAGATTCTATTCTAAGTTATTGAACAAGGATTATGCCTGAAATAGAATCCATATAAAGTTAAAACCTTCAGGATGGTGCACAACAGACACAGTTTTTTATTTTTTTTTAAAGTATCAGATACTTTAAGTTTGAAAGCTTACTAATGCCAATATTTTTATATTTGAACACCACTCAGGGTAAAAATCGTTCAAAATTCAGAAAGATTAAAGTCAATTTTTTTTTTATTATTTCAGGCAAAATATTCACTTCCTGAATGAACCAGAATATGTTTAAATAAAGGAAAAGCACAACTTTTATTAAAATTTTACAAAATTTTAAAGAGCAACTACATACAACTATATACAATTTAGGACCCAAACAAATTCAAACTTCAACAAATTTACGTCAAAATGTAAAATTTCCAGTCAAAAAAAAAAAAAATACACTCAAACACATTTACATTCTTGTAGATTTTTAAATGTACAAGATTTGACCTTTAGGCTGATTTTAGACTGGTGTTTAAAACACTAAAAAGAACCCAAAATTACACAATGATTGTGCCCTCCAATCTGAAAACGTAAAACAAAAAAATGTTCACTGGAATGTAAAAGTAACCACTGGCTTTATTCAAATTACTAAAGACAATGTTGCAACTGCAACATCCTTCTCTCCCTATTTCAGCCAGCCCCCTCCTATTTTCCTCATCCATTTAGTAACCGGCAAATGAATGTTAAAGCTTGAACAGTGGTGAAATTTTTCTTAGCAAGATCTGCCTTTTGCATTAATTCTACAGCACCAAAGGCAGTTGTGTGAATAAGCCAGACTCATTTGCCATAGATTCATTTGTCAAGAAAAATAAAAATAGCAATTAATTTAAAGACACCACAGTAGATAAGGACACTACAAGTGCAACTAGCTGCATAGCTATCAAAAAACAAGCCCAGCCCTCACAAATTTTCTATTTTGATGAGTTTCAATATATCACTCATAACATGCACAAATACTCCTAAAAGTCTTATACATACAGCATGTGAATAAAGACTTCTAAAATACTTTTTTCGAATGCTATCCAAATCTACATAGTAATAAGGTTATAGAAAAACTATAAAAATTAGGAATGTGAAAAATGAGACTTCTGTTTCTTGGCATTCTTCCCTCTATTGCAAATCTAATCTAGTACCAAAAGTGTATGCAAGATGTTACAGTTCTTGAAATCTTGGTATCTCTTCCCAATTTGCCCCTGATAATAACTGGAATACTGGACACAACTCTTGAAAAATCTCTATTATCTTAATTTAAATGGAATAAATATTAAATTCAGGTTTAACAAAAGTCCACTATAATATTCCATACAACTTAATCACTATCTTTCCCTCTTATTTTATATTCAATGATTCCTTTATGTCAAAAACAAAGACATCATGTGGTTTGTGAGCAACACCAGTGGCTAGAAGTATTTCCAAATCACTTCTCAACTTTTTTTTTTAAATCAAATTTAAAATGTGCGACAAAGGGAGCACAAAGCTACATTCTCTAAGAGAAAAATGCTATGATTACTTTATTTAAAAATAAATAACTGAATCATATTAATAAAAAGTTCACAAGAAGCAGGACTTTCTAAGGTACACTTTAAAAATTACTTCATTTGTCACACCGTCCTGGAAACTAACCTGTAAGGCTGTCGTACACAATCTCTTTGTGTCTCCTGAGTCCTTCAATTCATTCAGAACATAAACGTTTCAAAAACTCGTAGCAACAACAGCAATCGCACCAGGTGCAGTTTTTAAGCAATAGCTCTAAGCACCAAATGAAATTAACACCCCTCCAAAAATGAAAGGTCAAAGACAAAAAGTGTTTTTAAATTTTCTCTAAAAGTAGTTAAGTTCCTTAAATTTACAATTATTTTCCTTTCTTTTCATGAAAGAAGAGTGGGAAATCAAATTAACAGTGACAAAGATGAGAACAGTTAGTTGCCAGGCAGAGGATGCAAGAATTTACAATCCAGTCTTGGCAGAGAGATCACCCGGCACATACACAGTAATTTTCAGAGGAACCTTTCAAGAAATGTCACTGTCTAACGGAAGTTTAAGGCCTTATATTTTTACGGCCTAAGGCCATCCCTGTAAATACACTGTAAAATACAATCTAGAAAAAAAATCCATCCTCCCGAACAATCCGAGAGTTTCCTACATGCTGGAAAAAGAAAGAGCACGTACTCTGGACACCCTCAGGCCTGCCGCCTCTCACATGGAAGGAAGGGCAGCCCATGTGAATAGGAGTGCCATCACGTCAGTTTAAGTGACAGATCCACTGGGAGCATCTGACTGTGATCCGGGGCCCTCCGGGGCTGAGGCAGCTGGAAGAGGAACATAAGTGCAATCTTCAGGGCCCTCCTACTTCCGTTCTCAAAAGAGAAATGCACTCTTTCTCCTCCTCCTCACCCCTCAGCCCAGAACCTCCCGACAGCCGTGCCCCTTTAAAGAACTTAAGTGGAAAGAAAAGCAGATAGTCACGTACTACGCTCGATGGAATGCTGTTGGTCAAAGCACCCCCACCCCGACTCCCGTACAAATCAACCGCCAGGGCCTTCCTGAGAGTCCCTCTGGCAGAGGACACAAGAAGCACAAGTCGACGTCCCAATTCGCCCCCTATTCTTTCCTCCTCCGGGTAAAGGGAGCGGAAAAACGCAAAGAGGAACTAAGAGAACTGCAAAAGGATGCCCTGAAAGCTCCTTCAAAGAGGGGGTGGGGAGGGGGTGGAAACCGAGAAGGAGCGGAAGGAAGGGGAAAGGAAGAGTAGCAAGAAGAGGAAGGGGCGAGAGCGCGCGCCCGCAAAGGGGACGAACTTCAGGATCGCGGCTGCACCCCACTGCCTCCTGGTGGGAGCGGGAGCGCCCGGCCTGCGGGCCGCTCCGCCCCGGGCAAAGGGCGAGGAAAAGGGGGTGAGGAGGCGACGTCCACCTCCGGCCGTGCCCCTCGGGAAGGGTCGGTCAGGGGCTGCAGTGCCCTCGCAGGGTCGGAAGCGGCGGCAAGGGCCGCTCACCCCGTCGGAAGGCGCGAACTGCGGGGCCCTCCCTCCGTTTCGCCCGGGCGGCTCTCACGCCCCCACCGCCGGGACAGGCAGCTCGGGGGTGACGCTGGCCTGGCGGCCGTGCAGGTTACCTGAAGCGGGGCGAGTCCTTCAGACACTCCTCGAAATCCACAGTCATCTTCATCCTGCTTCTGCCTCGCCTGGCAGAGCCGAGGGGGCCGCGGAAGCTGCGACGCTGGGGACCCAGACGGCTACAGCGGGCGCACGGCCGCGACTAGCGCTGCGCGGAGCTGCGGAGGGTGTCTCACCCGCTGGTCATAGCAGCCTCGAAGACAGAGACGGCTGGTCAGGCCCCAGCCCAGCCCCTCTTCCTCCCGCCCCTAGCAAAGCGCAAGCTTCAGGGAAACGACCGGGGAGTGACCACCGCGACTAGCCAGCCACGAAATCGGCGGTCGATGGGCGGGGCTTCCTGCAGTACCGCCCACGGACGCTCGGGCAACGCGCCTGAGCGACGGCAACTCTAGCCAATGAGCATCGCGAGCGGGGCATCTCCAAGGGCCAACCGGGCTGGGCGGGCGTCGTTAGGGGAGACGCACCGGTTGCTAGGAGGCCGGCTTCTGAGGCTTCTTGGGAAGGAAATCACGTGACTACGCGCGTGGTTCCCTCCCAGCCTCCGCCTCTTCTGCTTCCCGGTCCCTCCCCGCTGAGCTGCCAGCGCAGAGGAGCCGCCTCTTGCAGGTCTGAGGAAGTAGATTTGCTTTTTAAAGCAGCTTTGGCACAAATCTGAAAGATTAGGGGCAGAAATTATAAAAGAAAGAGATGAGATAGACTGAACCACCGCCTCCTTTCGTTTAGAGAAACCGAGGCCAGGAGAGGAACGAGGGTAACGTTAACGATAAAATTGATCTTTCACTTAGTTGCATCGCCTCATAATTTGGAAATTGCTCCACGAACATCTTTTCATATAGCTAGAGATCACTTCCCGTAGGAGCTGGCATTTGGGATGGGCATCGAAAGATCAGAAGGATTTAAACAGGTATGAGAGGCAGGGCGTTTCATGTTGAGGAACTGCTCTCAAAACCGCAGAAGGCATTCCTCCTTACTGACACTTTTCTCCCAGTAGTTTTCTCCTGTTCAATGATAATAAGGTTCTGGAACACCATGCTCATGATACTCCACCTTGCAACACCTGCTCCCTGATCCACAATTTTTTTAGGGGTACTTTAAGATATTCATCATATGATCGTCGCAATAATCCTAAAAGGCAGGTACTTACCCTAATCCTTGAGTTTTTTTTTTTTCCTTTTGTCTTTTTCCGTGTCCGGCAACGGATCGCAACCCTCAGTGTCGCCCCCGTACCGGACCTGGACCAGCACCGGGATCGCAACCCTCGGCGTTGCTCCCGCGCCTCGCTCAGCCAGTGAGCGGGAACCGGTCTGTATGTGGGATCCGAACCCTCGGCGGGAGCGCCGCCGCACTTCCCAAGCGGCGCACTATAGCAGTGCGCCACCGGGCCGCCCCCGTAATCCTTGATTTTAATATGCCCTTAATTATAAAAAGTATAATGGATACATTATATTTAAATGTATGCTTTTTGGAGGCTGGCTGGTGGGCTTGGTTGGTTAAAACACAACTTTATAACACCGAGGTCATGGGTTCAGATCTGCATATCGGCCAGCTGCGAAGATAAATAAATATGTACTTTTTAAACCAACCTAAAAAGCATAGGGTGTATCCATAAAAATGCATACGTAGGCTCATAAAAATGTGTAATAGCTCTGAGTGGCTCTGGAGGCAAACTTCCTGAATTTACCGCCTATCTTTAAATGAAAATACCACCAATCTAACAGAGTCCTTGGGTTAACACAATGCCATGTAGTGATCATTCAGTAAATGTTGAATGTCTTAATTGTACTACTTTCTTCACTACTATAATCAAAGGTTGTCTAAGCTCTCTCACTTTCACTGTCTAATAACCTTTGACCATCTGGTTAAGTATAGCATGATGGCATACTATTTTTCATAACCTATGGTTATATCTTGATCTCTTTAGCACCCTTAGAAATTAACGGTATAATTTTGAGACACTTCAAAGAATACAAAAGTGTTACATACATTTCTTCTTTGGTCATAAGCTTGATTTCTTTTTTTAACTGAATTGCATATCCTTGGAATCAACACAGCTTTTCTTGATAGCTAGAAACTATTGACTGTTAATTGTTCAGTGTCCTCAGTTGGTCAGGCAACCTCTTCTAGAATTGTAACTTCTATGACAAATTTACCAAGAGGGTTGGCAATTTCTACTATATTTAATTGCATTCCTGATGCATGATGACTGATTTGCATACATGATAACTTATTGTTTAGTGGTTCATCACAGTGTACCCTTTTGGAAAATACCTAAAGTGACACCTTGGAGCTCAAGTTAAAATTCAGCTGGTCTTCCGGGTCAGGATACATAGTCAGCAAGATCCTAACCCTTGACAACTTACAATTTACGTTCAGTCTTCACACAAGAATTTCTCCTTGTTTGAAGTTAATGCCTTCTAGCCATACCACTATCTTAATTTTCATGTTGCTGTCATCCACCAATTTCCTAGTAACTCTCTGCCTTAGCCTGGCTACTTGGACTGCAAATTATCTCAAGAAAAGGAAGTTATGATGGGGGTGACTTTGGGCAGGTATTGGGAAGCACAGAAACCTAGGCATCTCTGGGAACTGGTTTTCCTCTCTTGGAGTATATCGTCTCTCTCTTTCCTACTCCACACCCCCACCAGGCTTTTTCTCAGCTCTCTATGGGTTCTGTTCCCCTGTGAACCTGGCTTGCTACTGATTCCTTCTACATGTTGGTTATCAGAGGCCCAGCAGGTAATGTAAATGAATGAAGCTGGCCAGGTGTAAGCAATATGGACTGGTGGCGGCTGTGGTGAACAGAAAGCATGTGCCCTACATACTGCTCAGCTGCAGTCTGTTTTTGCTGTACAGACTTTCAGACTTTATAAAAGAAGCCAAATTTTAATGTGAAATCTCTCTATTTTCAAATATTGGCAACCCTTTCAAAATGTTAGTAAACATTGCACAGGTCATAAAAGTAAGTTTCAGAGCCACCCTGCAACTTCTCCTATTTATTTCTTGATGATTCTTGTTATATCCTTTCAACCCATGCTCCTGGTGTTAATCACTTCAGTCTGTTTCCCAATTCCCAAATCTCAGAAGTAAATCACATCAGTCCAGCTCATCTTTTCATGTCAGGCCACACAGATCGTGGGCCTTGGCAAACCAATATAGGGACATAATCACTCAATCATTTGTACAGGGATTGGGAGGGGATAGGGGCTGAAGGACAGATGACTAGTAGACAAGACAAATTCCCTAAAAGAGAGTGTTGATGTCTGGGTCCCATAAAACACAGCTAGTAAACTCTTACATTCATCCAGGACTTTGGCCCCTGACTAACAGTTCTCTACCTCAAGTCCTACCGTTAGCTAAGGTGACTTCAACACTCACTCATTCTTTCTTTCATTCAATAACATCCTTTGAGTATGTACTCTCGCCAGACCTTATAGGAGGCTCTGAGTCTTTTCCCCCTAGATCTCTCAGACCATGATAAGTTCTGTGCCGAGATAATGCACAGGGGGCTGCTCATACTCTGACAGTCATTTCTCCTGGGGAAGAAAATAAGGGTTCTCATCTCTGCAGATATGAGGAATCTTGAAAAAATAAGATCCAAGAAAAAGTGAGGAACATCTTTTCAAGGACCTTTAGTCACAAAGAACTATATGACTAAAGAACAGAACCAAGAGAAACATATGGTCTTCAAGAGTTGTTAACAGAGGCTGGCCAGTTAGTTCAGTTGGTTAGAGAGTGGTGCTGATAACACTAAGGTTGAGGGGTTGGATCCCCATACCAACCAGCCAACAAAAAAAGAGAGTTGTACATAGAGCATATGGCTTTGGGAAAGAAGTAAGAAATAAAGCTGGAGAGGTAAATGGTAGCCAGATTATGAAGGACCTTGTCTACCATGCTAAGGAATGTGTATCTTAAAGCTATGGAAAGCCATTGGAAGAATTTAAGCCTGAGAGTGGCATGATCCGATTTGCTTTTTAAAAAGAAGTAGGGCAAAGAGGTAGGGGCTATTAGGACTGAGACTAAATGCAGTAAGCAATTTCGAGGTTTTCAACCAATGTAATTGCAATCAAGAGATGCTGAGGAAATATAGTTGAAAGGATCTGATGGCCAACTGAATGTGAGGGAGGAAGAAAAAAAAAAGATTTAACTTCTAGAATGACTCCAGGTTTCAGGCTTGGGTGACTGAGTGGGAGGTGGTGCCATTTATAGAAAGAAGAGAAAGTTTACTGTCTCAAAATATGTCATTTAAGAACATCCTTAAATGTTCCCACCTTAAACCTTTGTCTCACCCAGAACATTCCATGCACAATCTCAAGCTTAGATGTCTCCTGGTTTCTCACTCCTATATATTAGCTTCACACCCCCAGCCCCACCCCAGTTCTCTTTTTTTGTCTACCAGGCTGTTGATATTCACCCTGTCTCGCCTTCCACCACCCTAGTTCATTCCCTGGCAGTTTCACACATCCAGCTCTGGATCAATCCAAACATTTTCTTTCTGCTTTCCTCCCTCTTACCTGCTGAGCAAGACTGGAGACATATATATATATATTTTGTGGCTGGCCAGCAATGGGAAGACATTGGAGAAACTTAAGCAGGGAATGACGTGATCTGATTTGTGTTTTCAAGGGGGTAGTTAGGCAAAGGGATGAAGGCTTTTAGGGCTGAAACTCTATCACTGCATTCACCACTACATACTTAGGATTTTCAGATATCTTTGTAATATTTCTCTGTGGCTAGGTCCCTGGCCCACGGACACAATAGCTGTTCTCAAACCTTGACACTCTCCTCCAGCCTCCCCACAAACTGTGGCCCAGCCCTCTCATGATCTGTAGATAAGCTTGACCCTTCACAAAGAAAATAAGTCCTTAGGAACTCTTCCTAGTCCCAGCCCACATACGTAACAACATTCCCACCTTCCTTACTTACCTATCTCAGAGGATGGTGCATCTCTTCCTGCCACTCCTAACGTGTGCTGTGGACCCCACCCTTTCCATTCTTTTCAGAGAATGGCTCTGTCAATTATCCCCTTTCTCTGCATCTTCAAACTTTCTCTCAACTGACCATTCTTTTCTCTTTGAAGAAAAGAGAAAATCATACACTATTTGTATCAGAAAGTATTATTTTTGTTATGAGTAAGAGAAACTATTTGAGTTAACCAAAAACAAAAGGTTCATGATAAGATGGAGTGGTTTCACCCAGAACCCAAATAGCAGGCTTTCCAT